GAGCAAAAACAGAAAAATGAAACAATTTTTAAATGTGGCTGTTAACATGAATTATTTTAAAGTCAGGAATTCTTTTTTTAAACGTGTTCTTCTTGTCAGTAAAAAACATGGCAAAATAAGGGGACTAAAAGTTGGAGCCTTACCCACGCATACACTTCATTCTCTCTCTCAAATTATACTGCCAAGAATCGATGTCATCATTTGATACATTTCCAAAGCAAAAGCTGACATGATTATTAAATAAATCTATCCTATCTACAATAGCACACATTAGAAACAATAAAACACATGGCAGTGTGTTCCAATACGCAGGCATAAACATGGGGGGGGGGGACAAAAAAAACCCCAATATTGAACAGCTGTATGTTTTTGATACCATTTCTGATTAGAAAGAAAAAAAATCAACTGCTGAGTATTGACAAAAACTATCATATCTGCTTCAAATCTGGGTAACCATTTGCAGTCTGTCATATTACAAATTTGTAGGCACCAGGAAAAGCCATCTCCAATAACAGCTCAATGAAAAAGCATAAATAATAGAACTGAATTTTATGAATCAACAGTTTTTCAGTGACCTCCCCAGACAGAACCTCTGTGTTATTTACTCTAATAAATTACTCGCCAAATTTATTTGTATACCCCTCATCAAAGTTATTAAAATGGAAATTCGTCATTTCAATTCTCTTAAATACGGGGGAAATGAGATCGTCTCAAGCATGTTATGACACCAAACGAATGTGTGTTTTGCAAAATGTTTCGGTAAATCGGTGAAATTTAAAGATCAGATTGATTGATTCACATGATTCTCACAAAGTCTCAACCGACAAACTCCAAATTTCAGTACTAGGTATACGTAATTTGAAACAGACTTTTACTAAGTTCAGGTTGACAAAAGTAACGTAATAAATAAAAACAGCCTCAGTTGTCTTCAGATCATCTGATTCATTATTATAAAGGTTAATGTCTTTTTTCTGTTTTTTTTTTAAATAATTTTTTTTGAAATGATAGTTGTCACGTTGAACATGATCTACGCGATCTGGCATGTAACATACAGATCAGGTGCACATTATCACCGGAAGTCATTAATACATATTACTTTTGAACAACCATACTAATTTACTAGAAAAAAAAGTCTTTGAAAGTCCACAGCATGTTTATGTTTGACCAGTTTACAGCCTTCGGAAGCCAATTAGGTCCTCCCATTAAAAAAACCACTCCTTCCTACACTTCCAACAAAACTGACACTACATCACTGCCAAGTCTGGTACCAAGGGTCTTTTTTTTTAAGAGCCTATCCACCAATAAGCAAGTTCGGCAATTTCAGCTACATGCACATTTACATCAAGCTTGGACAATTTTCCCTTTTATTTTTGGATACAAAATTCACCAAGTGCATGAAAAAATCACAGAGTGCGCTGGTGACATCGAAGTAAAACTGATCTGAAATACGTTCAAAACTTTAAACTGAATCACGGTGGCCTTTTTTTTTTTTTTCTGCTCAAGCTTTTGTGCAAACCACAGTTCCATATTCTTCTTGATTGCACGGGAAACAAAATTGCAGATTTGGATTAGATTGCTTTAAACTAACTCAACAACTTGTTTATCCCCTGTTTCTTGTGAACCAACTAGAGATCTGGCTTGTAAATGACTTCACCGCAACCTTGACTGAGGTTCAACGTGAATCCGTGAAACACTCAGCAACTAAGCGTTGCAATGCACATTACAAATTCTAAGTCCTTATGGCAAATTAGACAAGCTGCCTAGCTTTAGAGTTCTACTCCAAGTCTATGATTTCAGTGTCTTTTAAGGCAATTCTTACTTTCGAAATGGCAAGTTTTAATAATAAAGAGACCAGAATTTCCATAGATGTACACAAATCCTTCATGCGATCGTCACGGGGCACTGGAGATCAAATTTCTGCTACATGTATGTAGTGAGAATGGTAGTGTACCATTGACATTGTACTTCTATGCATTAGTCTTACGCCAGCCTGTGATTTCTGTTTTAATTTCGTCCGATTTGCAAAGAGGAATTATGTCACTTATATTGAATCTGGCAAGGCAGTGGACAAATCTTCACAAATGGACTCAGCTCGTCAGTGGTCAACTCAATAGCAAAGACAGTTGATCAGAGATGACAAAATCGATTGGCTTTTGAAACACTAACACCAGCGGCAGCACAAATGTTTCTCTTAATAACAGTTCCGTTATAAATTGAGCAATTCTTTGTGTATGCGCAATACAGCATTAAGGCAGAACAGGCTTTGCCTCATCCACTTTGCTTGGAAGGAGCTTTGCTACCCCTCGCCCGCTTTGCAGGAGAGTAACCCGTGAACGAAAGGCGGCGTGTATGCCACCTGCTTGAAATAATTCAATGACATGTGATTAACGACCCACCAATTAAATGACATAACATGTAGTAGCGAATCCACTACAACCCCCAATAACGCTGAAATAATGATCATTCTTGAACCACGATGTGAGGATTAGGAGTATTCAATCAAGACATTTGGGGTTCAGACCTGTTTTTTTTTTGCTACACCATGTGACCTACCGCCACCATTCATTGCACATACTCACTAAAAAAAATCCCAGGCACGTTTCTGATTCGTCAATTTTTTTTTCAATGATTACACGGTTCGTCCACTCCACTCCTCACGACTGTAAAAACACTTTTAACACGTAATGCAGATTGCACATTCCGACAAATGGTAGTCCCCGGTTACAAAAAAAAAACCAAAAAAAAAAAAAGTTTATTTTATACAAGGTTTTATCGTGAGTTGCAGCTAAACTGTCATAATAAGAATAATACACTGACAAATCTTACATATTTTCTTTTTCGCTAATAACAATACCTTTATACTATATACATGGTTTCAGAGTGGCCATAGTTTTTGTACAGTGTGGTTTTGAAGACTTTTTCAAGCCTTGTAAAAAAAAAAAATATCATTGCAAGACGTTTCTAACCTTAAACCTACATTCTGAGAGTATCGTTTCTAAAAAACAAAACAAAATCTACATTATCTACACAGAATATCTCACACAGTTATTCTACGCGTACAGGATAAAAGTTAGGTATATATCTAAGTCTCAACCAAGCACAAGGTTGAAATTTCGCCAGTGAGGATTTACACCTCAAAATTGTTACATTTTAAGTCAATGTAATGAAGGTATGTATTTTTGCAATCCTTTGATCCATAAGAGTACAAACATTGTCAGCGTTTATTGAAGCGCAATACACAAGATCTGATACACCGTGCCCTCTGGAGACATGCACACAATAGGGAACAATAGATTGTCTGTGCACATGTACATGTATGTATGTTTAGTACACATGCGGTACGTGATGTTCGTTATACGACAAATTATGAAAGTAGTGTACTGATGAACCTAGTGAGTGGTTACTGTACTTAGCCACATAAACATGACAGCCAAGTATTTGTATGCTGTGTAACACAGAATTGGTTTTTCACAATTTTGTTTTTCTTGAAAATTTGCATTTTTTTTTACTACTATTGGAGCATGTGATGACAGTACAGCTTTTTCCTGAGTGTCCTTTCTTACTGCAGGCATGCAACTGGGGAACCCCCCCCCCCAAAAAAATGAAAATTTTAATCTCTACAAGACTCTCTGCAGTGTTATTCTGTTTCTTAATGCAATGCAAGCGAAGTTAAACAAAGCAATGAAACCACCTGGGGCCAATTTCATAGCGCTGCTTACCGCTAAGCAAACTTTGGTGTTAACCCTAGCACAAAACTTTGCTAACCTTAAGCACTATTTCGCGGCGTGTATGTGCTAACGGTCCGCGCATGGAGATTTATATTGTTACGTCACTAAGTTAAGCAATTTTGTTTTCCTCTGAGGTAAACGTGCCTTTTGCTGTGCTTACTGCTTACGGTCTACATGAAATAAACAGAGCTCTGTTAGCAGAAATTTGTGTGCTTAGCAGCACGGGGAAATTGGGCCCTGATCCGAGGATAAGTTGCATGCCTGCTAACTGGCCATCGCAATTTTGATTTATGTGATGACACGCTGGAATAATTCAAGAAAGGGGGACAAGCATCCCTGTTGTGTTGACTTCTATGGACTCACTTGGCTGGGCACGATGCAGTGATGTACATAGACATGTGCGGGACTGTGGGCTCAAGAATTTCATAACTGCTTTTTCCATGATACGCTGACGATCATGATCTCGAGATCGCAAAACGATACGTATCGTGAACTTTTACTGCAGTTCTTAAGGCTGACGTTTGACATACATGCATTTGTTATGTTCATTCTTAAGTTGTCCACATACAAAACTAGTGTGTTGGGTTTTAAGTTTCCAGTTTTTCCAACTCTGCTAAACTGCTCCAGCTGCTGTATTTGCTCTCAACATTTCATTTTCAAGGTACATTTTTCAAACATTAATGTGTTGCTCACAGCACTTTACAAGATGTCCACAAATGTGTACTTCTGGCGTCTGAAACAGTCTTCCGTCTGAAGTTCAACATATCTGATTGCGATATTGTATTGCGATAGTGATTTTCATGTCATGACGCCACATACTGCCAATTTCTGTAACTGAGATTTTCCATTCATCAATGAAACACTACATTCCAAAAGTGTATTCAGACTTATCTAACGCTGGTAAGGTCAAAAAAAAAAATGTTTGGTCTCTGGTCAGACCAAAGTTCCGGAATTGATGAGGCGACGCATTTTTTTTTTTTTTTGGCCTTTTTTTTTTCAAGCTTGGATTGTACAGAATAGGTGGGTACTATTTTGCCTTTGTTGTGTCCTCATATACATTGGGTCCTCCATAATGTGCCTTGGTGCCCTCCATCATTTGCCTTGGTGCAATTTCCCCATTCCTTGGTACAAAAATTTGAGGAGGTGCGGCAATAGAGGGCACTGCTGTAGCTACCGCGGACAATTTGAAGAAAAAAAAAGGTTGACGCGCATGATTAAAATCGACGCGCGCGCCGACCAGAGACCGACTAATTTTTTTTTGTGGCCTAACGCAATAAACATATTAATCTGTAACAAGAAGTAAACCGCTTGGTCAGTGGCGTCATTTCTAAAAATCCAACAACTCCGACAACGTCTAATTTGTCAAAATGCCTGAATGTCACTCAGCCACAGCATCACAGAATGGCTTTCTGTTGTATACCAGGATTTTGTGATGGTACATGTAAATATAAATTATTACCACAGCCTATGCATGTGAATGTAACACAGAGCAGGCAAATATATAAGGAATGCAAGGCTGTGTGGTTAGATCAATTTCGCTGGAATTATTCCGGACAAAATCATCACGGGTGGTGATTTTTTTCATCAGCGATTCGCACCGCTTTCTGTCATAAGTTGGTGGGCAATTGACCTATCGCCGTTTGCGAGTTAGCCACGCCCCTTAGACAACCTTATGGAGTTTTTGTACGGTATTAAAGTTTTGCTGTCTCAGATTTTGCGCGTTCAGTGTCCACTTGTATATCATGTACTTGGACAACATTTCACAAGCTGCGTTGACGCGATTCTACCGCGATTCTACCGCGATAGGTCAATTACATTTCGCCCTTCAAATTTTTTTTACTTTATTTTTTTTCTTCAAAATTTGTTTTTGATATGTTTTTGCAGTAATTACTACCTGACTATAAGCGCTTTAAGTTTCATTTTGGAGTTTGTACTTTTTCTCCGTTTTTTTGTGTGGCAAATCGTCGGCTTCTCATCTCACCGAGAATTATCATGGTTACACTAATGGATCTGGATGAGACGTTGAAGACAACCTGACGGGAAAAGCAGGAATTCAAAGGTGAAGGTGAGGTGAAGATTGTCCCAAGTAACTTCCTCACTGGAGGCGACACTCTTCTTTCCTTCTGCCGAGAAGCTGAGTTCAGTCTGGCTCAGACCAACCGCTCTTGTAGCGCTTAGGCAGTACTCCCTGAACTAGAGATATCTAAAACTCTCAACTCGAATCAGAGAAAAGAATGCAAATCGGTTTTGAAATGTCAATTCCTAAAGACTAATGACGTCTTTCAAGCCTTTTTTGTTGCTGTTAAAGAAGCTATTAAAGTGACCCAGACCACGCTCCCCCATACCGTGATCAATCGATGTCCGTGGTGGTCTGCTGCTGACGGTCCAGGTCCGGCCGTGTGTAGGTGAAGCCGGTGAATTCGTTCTGGTTGATGGACTTGACGATGTTGGCCGTGATGGGCGTCAGCTTGGGCTCCTCCCGCGTGAAGTCGGCGTCAAAATTGTTGACGTCCTTTTTCGTTTTCTGCAGATGCAATCAATTCAGGGGCAAAAATTAGTTCAAGTTTTTCTTTGATATGTGCCTAATGTAGTGGTGTGCATTTACGGGTCATGGCAACCTGGTACCCTTTTGAAGTAAAACACGGGTACCCATAAAAGAAACCCAGCCCCAAAATTCAACTCCTGGAAGTTGTCTGAAGGGCTTTACAGCTTTACGATGTAAACTGCAACTTTTGTGAGCATCATCAGTCACGTATGTTAAAATGCACAAAAATGTGAAATCTGTTTTCATTTTGAAAATTCTCCACAAATGGTTTTCAAAACCTTTGTTTTTCATTGTCTGAGAAGTTACTAAGTAATTTGTAAAGTTGGTTTTGGGTACCCGATCCCATAATCTGGAACCGGTTCCTGACATCAGCGATCGGGTACTCGGGTACCCGATTCCCATGCACACCCCTAGCCTAGTGTTTACCTAGGCTGGAGTTCATGCCCATACCGCTGCAACATATGATGTTTCTCATAAAATACTGCGCAACTATTCACATTTAGGTCACATACAATAACAATCACATATTGGATAGTGACATAGGGATAGTTATGTCCTCTTGAATGTCAATGCTGCCTATCACCTAGTGTCTTGGGTATAGGTCTTGTTCAAATGACGTCATTTCCTACAGACCATCCACGTGCACCCAAGCGCGTTCACACCGTCGATCATGGACGTCCCATTGTCCCTCTTTTGTTTGTACTCTTAACTTTTTAGGAAGACTCCGATAGGTTTTGTACACGACCACAATCGCGGACGTATGCTGGGAATCGTGGACGATATTGTTCTCTTTTGTTCTAATTTTTCGTCCACAGTTTGAATGGATGAACACGCCCATCGGCATTTTGTGCATCGACTTGCATAACGGCATCAGCTGCATCGTATTTCGAACACATTTCGAACAACAAGCAGGCGTGTTTGGAACATTTTCAACACTGCGCAGTGCGTGCTTGATTGCGTAAAATACGCAGTTGCAGTTCTCCTCACACAGATGGCCGTTAAGGAGCGAGCCCTATTGAAAGGTCGACTCAAATACTCACTATCTTAGGTTTGAAGGGGGGTTCCACTTTGAGCTCTTCTAGTTTCTCCCATGAGATGCTGGAGAAGAAGGCGTGCTGCCTGATGGCGTTCTCTCCGCCTTGGCTCTCCACACAACCCAGTCTCTTGGCAGGGTTCTTCTCCATAAACTACAACACAATGGATGAACAGGTAGATTTCATCAGAACATCACGGTGTTGAATTACCCAGGTACAATGTTGCATGAAACTGTACAGCAAATGTGATGCGATCAAGCTACATGAGTCGTTGTCGACCCTGGTCAAAAATTGTTTATTACAGATTTCAAAAGAGCACAATCTCAGCATTACTGCTGTGAAAACCGCATGCTGATACAATCTTTAGTTAAGAAATTATGGAAGTCGGAACACCAAGAGATGTGATGAAGAGATGTGATGAAGTGATTTGATGAAGTGGGTTATTTTGGCCTGTATCTCCAAATGAAAATTCCCGAAAAGCGACTAATTTAGCTTGATCACATCACAAATGATCTTACTCACACACAAAAATTAACCCTAACCCTCCAGGGGATTCTGGCTTGAAACCCTGCTAAATGCAGCAACATGCAACACTTGTCAAAAATACAAACCTACTCAGTATAGCAAGATCCATCAGGTCAAACATCTCAAGGCCAATGAAAACAAATTTTCATTTTCAGTAACAAAATAGAAATATTTTGCTTTGATTTTTTTTTAACTACCAAGAGGAATACAAAAATCAGTAAGAACAAAATCTGCTGCGTGGTTTTACTCCAGTTATAGCCTGCATGTGAAATTATATAGGTAAGGGCTTGTCTCAATTCATATCCGGCACAAGTTCTGGACAAGTTACGGGTAGAATCATTCACTTCGTCGGGAGGAAAGCTCTGCATTTGTCCCTGACATGTTCCGGGAAAATTTTCATTAGCAACTGCTTGACTCACCAATACTGATAACTTCATTGCGGGAAGATTGCAGGGAAGTTGTTCAGAATCCTGCAACTTATACCCGAGACAACTTGTTCTGAACTAGCCCCGGATATGACTTTAGACAGGCCCTAACAGATGCGCGAGTGCTGAAATAGTGAAAGTTATAACTGTTGGGGAAACTGCTAACTTGAATAGTCGAATATGACACTTTATATAACTGACATACAGATCCTTGTCATTTGATTGGTGGAACTCGCATCACGTAACATTCATTATTGCTCCCATTCACGCCGGGGCTCAAAAAGTCCCATTCTCCCATGGGGAATGGGAAATACTATTCAACAGTTAGGATCATCCTTGTTTCATGACGCGGTATTTGTGTGCAAATGCATGCTGGTGTGCACGTTCAGCGTTGCGCGTAGCCAGCGCTATAGAGTTGGGTTCACACATTTTCGTGAAGGGGTGGTTTGGAAGAAAGAAATACATTTTCCCCCAATTTTGTATTGAAATAAAAATTCAAATATATCAAATGACAAGGATCTATATGTCAGCTATATAAAACAAATATTGAGTGGTTTCAAATTGTGAAATGGGAGGAATATCATCGTTTGGTAAAATCCGGACTTTTCCAGTTCACTCGGCTTCACCTCATGAAATGGAAAAGTCCAGATTTTACCAAGCGATAATATTCCTCCCATTCCACTCTGCGCCACTCAATATTTGTATACTGATCCACAGTCGCAACTTCATGATTTGTACCGCTAATCTACAAAATAATGTAAAAATAAAAACAATTAAACCAGCAACTCACAGCTTTGAGAATGGACGTTGCTTCCTTGCTGAGCCAGACTGGGTAGAGTACATCGTCGTGCAGGATAGAGTCAAAGAGATCGTCCTCGTTATCAGCCTCAAAGGGCGGTTGACCTGCCATCATCTCGTACATCAGAACACCCAGGGCCCACCAGTCCACTGACGGTCCGTAGTCTAGCTCATGTAGAATCTGAAAAACAAAACAGAAAAGGACTTCAGTTACTTACTGGTGGGGGGGGGGGGGGGGGGAGGGGGGGGAAGGGGGTGCTTATCATCCTTACTCGCAGCAGAAGCTGAATTGTGAAGGGACGCAGCTACAACGTGGTCGAGCCGAAGGCATGTAAAGGTACCTTAGGCTGCTGCCGTACGACCCATGTCTGACCACGGAGCACAGCCAGATCGCAAGTGTTGAAAGGAAAACTGGAGAACCCGTGTTGCACAGGAGAGAATCAACCAACTCTACTCACAGAGAAATGCAATCAAGATATCATTGGAAAGCTCAATGCCCCTAGTTTATGATAAAACCATAATAATAGCCATTAAATTCATAGCTTGGTCAAATTATCCCTTCGTTTGTGGGTTACCTCTTTTTTTGGGGGGGGGGGGGGGGACACCTTGTAGAGCAAGTCAGATATTATACCCCATTATTATTTATATCAGGATTCCAGTGGTAAAAATAAATCAGCGTATTGTATGCTTTCGTAAAAAGGACCCGGATGACTGCAATATTATTAATATTGCAGTCATCCAGGCATTTTCGCTGGTTCCGGTGTAGCATGAATTTAGGTTTTATGAAATACAGACTCTTTGGTGGTATTGCGCATGCTCATGCATAGATAATTAGGAGAGGGACTGGTCACGTGAGAGGATTTAACCAATAAAAGGTAAAAAGAGTCCGATTTTCATACGAGTCCGATTTTCATATGACACCGGCACAATCCAGAGCGTAGAAAGTCACAGTCAATCAGTCAACAGAGGGTAGCGCGCGGCACGCAGACGCAGCACTAGCATGGTATACGCGCACTGTTGTCAACAGCCACAATGGCAGCTTTGAGCGGTGCGATAATTCGACAAAATTTGAGAAATAAAGGTAGTGTCCTGAAATTAAGTTTTTGCGGATCAAGCTAGTCAGCCTAATATAAATATTAATAATATTGTATGGCTTTTTTTTCGGGGGATACAAAAATATATTGCACTTGCTATAACAATATTGCGCTCATCGAAATAGCTCGTGTAATATATTCTTGTATACCCCTCAAATCCATCCAATATTATATAATTATGTGCACTCCTATGTTGAACTGGCCAATCACATTGGGAATCTGCTTAACAGATATGGGGATCAGCAAAGCCAAGCATTTTTGTGGCTGTGTCCAAATTACTCGGCTACGACTAGCAATTACACACGCACCTATGGAAGCGGCTGCATCCACTTCCATTAGACCCGTGTGTTACTGACACAGCCATAGCCAAAGCCATGACTCCACATACCGTTGGCTATGGCTAGCAATTACACACGCACCTATGGAAGCGGCTGCATCCACTTCCATTAGACCCGTGTGTTACAGACACAGCCATAGCCAAAGCCATGACTCCACATACCGTTGGCTACGGCTAGCAATTACACACACACACCTATGGAAGCGGCTGAATTCACTTCCATTAGACCCTTGTGTTACAGACACAGCCATAGCCATAGCCATGAGTCCACATACCGTTGGCTACGGCTAGCAATTACACACGCACCTTTTGAAGCGGCTGAATCCACTTCCATTAGACCCGTGTGTTACAGACACAGCCATAGCCAAAGCCATGAGTCCACATACCATTGGCTATGGCTAACAATTACACACGCACCTATGGAAGCGGCTGAATCCACTCCCATTAGACCTGTGTGTTACTGACATAGCCATAGCCAAAGCCATGACTCCACATACCGTTGGCTACGGCTAGCAATTACACACGCACCTATGGAAGCGGCTGCATCCACTTCCATTAGACCCGTGTGTTACCGACACAGCCACAGCCAAAGCCATGAGTCCACATACCTCTGGTGCAATGTAGTCCGGTGTGCCGCAGAATGTTGCCGTTGTTCTCCCGTTCATGATGCCCTCCTTGCACATACCAAAGTCGGCAAGCTTACAATGGCCCTCCATGTCTAACAAGATGTTGTCTAATTTTAAATCTCTGCGATGCACAGAAAAGAAAGCCAAGGCTGAACATTGAATGCTTCATCTTCATGCACTTGCATTTATATTATTTTCAAATACAGGGTGAGTAAAAAAAAACGAAACCCAAATGTCGGGACTATTATTTTATTGAAGTTCTACATGTAGTACTTTCAAAATCTAGGACATAAAAGCCCAATTCAAAAGCTTTCTTTTAGTACAAGAATCATTCAAATCACTTTACTTTTCAAGATGCGGAATTTTAAACACAACCACCATTTTAAAGTTCTGTCCACGGATCACAAAAAAGGTGTGCGTTCTTTCAGCAAAACGAAAACAATTCACACACATCCTTATGTGATTTTTTTTCGTTTTGCTGAAAGAACACTGAACTTTTTGTGATCCGTGGACAGAACCTTAAAACGGAGGTTGTGTTTAAAACTTGGTAACTTGAAAAGTACATGAGTGATTTGAATGATTCTTGTACTAAATGAAAGCTTATGAATGGGGCTTTCATATCCTAGATTTTGAAAGTGCTACATGCAGAACTTCACTAAAACAATTGTCCCGACATTTGGGTTTCGTGTTTTTTTTACTCACCCTGTACATGGTCAAGGCTACATGCATACAGCAAGTTTAAGCACGAGCAATGGTCAATCTCTTCAATCATTAGTCAATCTCTTCTTACCAAAAAGCATGTGCAATGGACCCTTCCACCTTGTCAACCAAACAGTGGGCGTTGCCTGGGCCGCGTTTTGGCACCATGACCGTAAACATGTTTCTGGCGCTTCAGATAAACTGAAATGACGTCATTGATCCGACCAAAATTTGAACCAAGACTTGCGATCGATTACTTTACGTTTCAAGATGGTGGAAAGGTAAACAAGTCGATAGCAAATCAATCTAAGATTTTGCCCTTCACTGACACTGACGTATAAACACTGTATACCCAGTGTGTTGCCTCTTGAGTGAAAGTTGAAAAAAATCCCTCAGGTGGGACTTGAACCCATGACCTCCTGCTTTCTAGTGCAGATGTCTTACCACTCGACCACCGAGCTTGCGGGATTGGTTGGCTGGTTCGAATCTGATGTACATTTAGCAGAGCGTACCGTCAAATAGCAGACGATGTTACGTTGTTACCACAAAAGGATGTAAACAGTCGGTTGGGTAGTTGATACATCACAATTATTACACAGCCTAGGGAAATACTGGAAAAGTAGCTGCCCAACTTTTGCTTGTAAATCGTGTAAAATTGACTTAAACATTCGTCTTCCTATGGCACAAAGGAAGATGACGTCACAAACAATTCTTTGTGAAACATTTTTCACGTCATGGCTGTGACGTCAGAAACATGTTCCAGGTCAAAGGCCACCAAACTGCGGCCCTGATTGGTTCATAACTTTTGGTCAGGTGACCACGGTCCCCCAATCAAACTTGGTCACACGCGCACGGTGAGAAACGAACCCAAAACCATTTGGGACTGACCTATATATAACACCGTGCCGGTGCAGGAATTGTAGTGCAAGGATTACTTCAGCTGCGTAGAATTTCGCTCGGGGTTCGTTGAACTTCCTGGCCCTCTGGATTTGGAACATCAGGTCTCCACCGTTGACATATTCCATGACAAAGTACAGTCGGTCCTGCAATTCCAAACAATGATATAGTTAACAATTAGTGACTGATGTGATGTGGATTTAAAAAACAACAGCAAAAAATTTACATCTGGTGGACCGTTGGTTCTTCATGATTTAAAGCTACAGTCCATCATTTGTAATTTGTGCATTTTGTTCGTTTGAAGCAACAAAAGTGTTCAAAATCTAATGAAAGATACTGAGCAACTAACCTGATGAAGTTTCAGCTAAGCTTCAGCTGTACATTCCGAGAAAAACAACATTCTAAGATCTCAATTTCAAATCAAAAGTTACTGAATCATGTTTTGAATTGTTTTGAATTGCAGCTATACGCGACGTCGCGCACTGATCCGACGAATTATAACAACTGCGCGCGTGTGCGTCGTTCCAATACTTGTGCGCGCTGCGCTGAATAACAAAACGAACTACTAATTTAAATTTTCCTACGGTGCTTCTTAAGAATCACCGTTGGAAATGCCTTCTTTCGTTGATTACTTCAAAATGACAGCTTCCCAGAAAGAATAATTTCACAGGGAGTTTACTTCCCTTATCTTTCAACCAAGTTTGTTTTTCAACAATAATTACGCCAGTTACTTTTCGGATGGCTGCAAATGATGGACTCTAGCTTTAATAAAAAAAATTAAATTCTACAGGCGTGAAGCTTGAAGGGTAATGCTGGATTACCGAGTACAAAGTGGGAGGAGGCAATTTTCCAGAAATGTCGCGTGTGAATTTTTTATCACACCTTCAAATCCTGTACTCTCAAAAAACAACTCTCACTCTTCTGGCTTTTGAAGAGGCAGTAATATTTAGGACTCTACACAGAGTTTTTCAAGCTTTTTGTTTAGTTTTTCATGGTCTGCAAAATTCTCTCCTGCTTTATATAGACTAATTCGGTGACATTTTCTGAGGTGGTACCAGGCTTGCATGAGTCGCAATTAGGTAGTAGGTACACACTCCGGGTCTAATGGAAGTGGCGTGCGCCTTTGAAGAGTTGAAACAGTCTTGACTGTTTTCAAGTCAAAGTAGGATTTAAAAAATAAACATTAAACGGATCATCAAGAGGTCTCTTGACAAGGTGTCAGTGAGATTCTGAACCCCAAAAAGGTTTTCACATGAAGACAAATGTTCACTTAAAGTATATACATATTTGTTTACTTTCACTTTTTATACAAGTTCTTAAACATTGTTTTGGAGAAAATTTGAGTTGCTTAAAAATGAGAGATCTCAAAGGTCTCAGAAAAGCTTTTGTCTGCAACACCAACATATTATAGCACCATCTGTGTCTATGCAGAAAATGTACCCATATGGCTCCTTCTATAAATTTCGGGTCCAAAGTGAGAAATTCGTTCTGTCCTTGATACCTGGATACTTTTCAGTTTTAGTATCATTAAGAATGACCTCAAACAATATTTTGTTTGTTGGGTAGGTAGTTTGCTATATATAATCACTTTTGGAAGACGCCTGCATTAAGGAGTGCATCAGAATAAGGGAATAAATGTGTGCTCCGGAGGTTTTTATCACTCGTTTAATACCGCTTAGAGTCTGGGTGCTGATAATTACCCGAGCCGGAGGCGAGGGTAATTATCAGCACCCAGACTCTAAGCGGTATTAAACGAGTGATAAATACCGACAGAGCACATATTTATTCCCATTCATAAATACCTTATCCGTAGAAAAATTTCAAATAATTCGTTCAAAAAATCCCGATTTTGTTCAACAAGTTCACTTTATGCTTTTTGAAACATCCCTCTAGCAAAATAATGGAGTGTTCAGCTGGCGAGTAAGATGTAAACAACCCTTTTATGGAGATTGACGCGCGCGTAACATGTTCTGCGCGATGTCACGCAGAACGCACCTGGGGCGTTGCGTTTTGAATTTAGAACTATAAAATTCTGACTCGCTTGTAGTGTTGCGCATGCCTACGTGAGGATTGTGAACGTTCAACCAATGAAACGGTAAGAGGCACTGGATTTTTAGGAGTCCACATTTTATTGTGACACTGGAAAAGTGTTTAAGACCAGCTAGCCATGTCTTTATCATCCGTTTAATACCGGCCACGTGACGGGCTCTCGACCAATAGGAATGGCTAAACTGTCTGAGGTATTTATGAATTATACATTCATAGATTTCAGATGTAACAGGGACAGGAAAAAAAAGTGGACCCCAAATTTCTAGAATGACCGAAATTGAGCCTGATATCCCCAAGTCAGAGGGCCTAAAATGTCTTGAAGCTGAGGTCTTCTTTGAAACACAGGTTGGTGACACAGCCAACGTTTGGACCCCTCCTTTACCCCCAGGGATGTAGTGGAGTCCATCACAAGTCCCTGCAAGTCCATCACAAGTCCTCCAGTCCCAATTCAAAATCACAAGCTATTCACATGAGCTTTGACAAAGGCATTCCTTTGTTATTGTTCATCCACTGTTACTTGTGACTGGACTTGTGAAAGACTTATGATGTACTTGTGACTGGACTTATGACGGTTTTGTGAGTTACTTGTGACTGGACTTGTGAATGGACTTGTAATTTACCTGTGACTGGGCTTGTGATGGACTTATGATTTACTTGTGACTGGACTTGTGATTTACTTTTGACTGGGCTTGTGATGGACTTATGATTTACTTGTGACTGGACTTGTGACTGGACTTGTGATTTACTTGTGACTGGGCTTGTGATGGACTTATGATTTACTTGTGACTGGACTTGTGACTGAGCGGACTTGTGATTTACTTGGGACTGGACTTGTGATGGACTGGTGATTTACCCGTGACTGGGCTTGTGATGGACTTATGATTTACTTGTGATGGACTAGTGACTGGACTTGTGATTTACTTGTGAATGGGTTTGTGACTGGACTTGTTATGGACTCGACAACATCCCCGCCTCCCCCAGGTCGCACACCATCTATCGAAGGTCCTCCACTTACCACAGTTTGGAAGCAGGAATGTAGAGAGGTCAGGAAGGGGTGTCTGTTGGCTAGAACCAGTACTCGCTTCTCTGTCATGGTGCATTCCACGTCATCGTCCTGTATGATGGCATGCTTCTTCAGTACTTTCACCGCATACACCTCTTCACTGTTCTTCTTCTCCGCGAGCATCACCTACATAAAAAAAAAAATTGCAACATGAGCAAATCTGATTGATTCACTGGCCGATTCAGAAGCCTATGTCATTTTTTGGGGGGAGGGGAGGGGAGGGGAAGGGGGAGTGGATGGGGGGAGTAGATGGGGAGGGGGGGGAGGGTTGTGCCAAAATGAGAAGGGGCTGACTGACCAGAGGGCATTTCTGATTCGAAAAGCTTATTCCTTCTTCTGTTAATTTTTAAATAATTATGGAAGGAAAGGCAATGAGTAGACTAAAGTCGTCTCCATTGCCTATGCCGGTTTGATTATTATGCCAAAAAATGGTTTTGTTTTGATTTTTGTTTCGGTTTTTAAGCTCTGGCAGGAGCTTCTTCAGGTCACTTGGTGGTTGGTCTGTCTGTCCCAAAAAATTAACCAAAAGTATGGTGTTCCATATGTGCCATCGGCGTCGCATTTCACGGCGTGGCATTTTCAAGCTCTGGCAGGGATCATTTTGATCGATTTCACGCAAGACTTTCATGCAAGACTTCTTGCAACACAGCCAGAGCTTATTGTGCACTCGCACTAGTTTTCTAGTGATTTGGGAGGAAGGGGCATTTTCTCCTTTTGCCTGATTCATTCTAGAAATTTGTACCAAAAAAGTGCTAATATCTATTGCATAGGAATAGATAAAGAAAGGAAAATGAAACTTTATACAAACAGATAGCAAAATACTTTGTCCCACTTTTTTTCTGGCCAACCCACCTTGCCAAAGCTGCCCTTCCCTAGGACCTTGATGAAGTTGAAGTCTTCCAGGTTGAACTTGCGCTTGGGTATCCGCTCCAGCTCCTCCTTGAGGGAGGGGGTCCGCAGGACGGAAGAGCCCAGGTGGGACACGCCCAACTTGCTGTCATCGATCTCCATCGCTAGCTTGTCCGTAGCTGCCGTCAGGTCGTGGATTTTGGTGATGCCTGATTGGTGGAGGTCAGACCAATGGAAATTCATGTTCGAAAAAACGACGGCTGCCCGAAACTACGTCTATATACAATAAGTAACATCCGTTTCAGACCTGGTTCTAGAGTCACGCTTTACCAAATAGTATTAGGAGTGACTCGGGTAGAGTCTAATAGATTTTGTTTACTATTAAACAAGTGAACTTTATGTGTTAATTTTCCATTGAGTAGATTCTGCAGCTATTCTGAATGACTGCAAAAGTTGATACTCCAGCAAAGTCTATCATCACCCGCACAAATTCCATCTTATGAATACATGTAGCTCGGTTGCGGTACCCGCTGCTATATCAGATTAGAACCAATCAGCCGTACCTGGCAAGCTTGGTGGTAGGGTGGTAACACGTCTGCACTAGTAAGCCGGAGGTCATGGGTTCGAGTCCCACCCAAGTCATTTGTGAATTTTTCTCACAATCACTCAGGACAACACTGAGTATACACAGTGTTTATGAAATATGTCAGTGGAGGGCAAAAACCCAATATTGAATTTGCATCACCCCAACGCAAATTCCATCTTATGAAAAATCTCTCCTATTTGTTTCAAAATCTAACTTTTCGGATAAAATCTTAAGAATAATTTAGTTCTGCGCAACTCTGGAACCCCAGCCAGAAACAGATGCTGTGCATTCGAATACCAAAAAAAACAACCCAACATGCTGCAACTGTTAGTATCTCCAATGAAGCATATCCAAATGGTTAGTTGCATTTTGTTGCTTTTTAACCTTGGACATCTGTTAAAACATAATAAAATCTGTGGGCAAGAAAGTTACATCACCGTTTGTGTCATGGCCAAGGATGTAATCTTCAAGTAAATTAGGCATGCAACAGAGCGACAATGTATAGGGAGCTGGCGCCCTCAATGTAAACCACTGACAAAGGGCTGCCTACATGCATATTGCTATTTGAAATGCATCCATAGCTATGAGACAAAAGATGATATCAAATTCTTCTTCTGATTTCATTTTTCCCTCGGGGTGTGGGCGTATAAATTTAACCTTAGGTTTAGCAAAAGGTTATGGGTTCCAGTCCCACCCCAGCAAGCTTGTGAATTTTTTCTTTCTTTTTGCAACTTTCCATAACGCACCGAGTGTACAGTGCCCATAAAGTTATGTCTGCAGGAGCGAAACCCAATGTCCCAATAATTATATCCCAAATCTTAAAAAAAGTAAGCTTAGTTCTTGTAAAACTTATCCTGGGGTAGTAACATCAGCACAAATTTTGGTTTATTATATGGCTCAACATCGAGGTGTTTTGGGGTGGTTTTTTTGGCTAGAGATTCATATAAAAAAAGATTATTTTTCATAAAATTTTCAAGATAACAAAGACAACTCCAATTACAATTGAATTCAAACTTTTTGTAAAAAAGATATCAGAACTATTGATAGTTATGGAAACACATAAGTTAAAAAGTCCAAACTTACAAATCCATGTGTTCTCTGGTATTTAGCCCTGTGTTTTCTATAGCTCATTGAACAGTTATTGTATAGTGATACATTTATACCAAAAGAGCCAGGGAATAGGTTTTAAATAAGAAAGGGGAAAAAACCCAAATAAAGGTGTCAACAACTGATCAAAATGGTACAACATTAGTGTACTAAGGTAGATTTGTTTTGCAAATAAACTTTTCTTTTTGCATTTCGATCAGTGTGTGACATAAGGCCGTTTCAGAAACGTCTTAACCAACCCTTTTTTAAGGACCCCGTCCATATTCAATATGGGCTAAAAAATGTGTTTTTTTTTTTTTTTTTTTTTTTTTTAAAGATCAAATTGAATTGAGATTTTCCACCCCAGTTAATTTTTCAACCCCGATTTCCAATCCAACTAGGAAACGTCCAACCAGAGTTGAATATCAAAAAACTTCAGGTTTAGACATCTATGGATCCAACCCTTCCCAGGTTTGAAAGGTGTGCAAAGGCCTGTTAATGCAGCACATGCAAAATTGTCTTTCTTCAGCATTTTATTTCTCATAATCACAGGAATGCAAAAATGTGTAACATTATTCGTGTATGCCAACCTGTGCAACAAGATTACACATATTCTTTACTCATGCAGTGATATGAAATGGAGGTGGGGGGGGGGGTGGAACAAAACACCAGCCCCCCCTCCCTCCCAAAGTCCCCACCACTGACAGTCATCATTTGAAAGTGTTAAGCAGTGATGACACCACAAGCACCCGTGTTTACAATGCGTGAATACAAGTGATACGAAAAAACACAAACTACTAGAGGGTAGGTCATGGGGGAAAAATGGGTGTATTTGTGGAACAGGATAGGGTTGAATGGAACTCATCCATGGTACAATTTAAGTTGTGTCTGAACCAATACTTTATGGATTACACAAATTTAAGAAATGCAATCAGCAAAGGTTTTGTTCTGTTTTCAATTGACCTATCGCCGCTTGCGATTTAGCCACGCCCCTAAGACAACCCTATGGAATTTTTGTATGCTAAGTTTTGTTTGTCTCAGATTTTGCGCGTTCCGCGTCCATGTGTATATCATGTAATTGGACAATATTTTACAAGCTGCGTTGACGCGATTCTGACGCGATTCTAACGCGATTCTACTGTTTTCAATTGACCTATCGCCGTTTCCGATTTAGCCACGCCCCTTCTACAACCCCATGGAATTTTTGCACACTAAGTTTTGTTTGTCTCAGATGTTGCGCGTTCCGCGTCCATTTGTATATCATGTAATTGGACAATATTTCACAAGCTGCGTTGGTGCGATTTTAACGCGATTCTACCGCGATAGGTCAATTATTAATAGCTTTGTAAGCGAGAGGGTCTGAGAAGGTTGAGGAGTGAATCCATCCGATACAAAATGCCACGGGCTTTTTAAAGTTGCGTTCCCTGTGTTCTTCAACAAAATTCAATTTTTGTTTTCCTGTTATTACATTTTCAACTTGTATGATTTATTCCAACCTAAAAAACCCTCCTTTTTTCCCCCTTTTTTTCTGACATCTGCAAACCTCTGAATAAAAAAAAAAATGCTTTGGGCACAGACAGATCCCCTTGTAAGAGCAGACTGGTTCCCGGTCCGTACACTATAAATTCTGATTGTGGGGCGGGAACCACCTACCCGCATGAACGGGGCAGCAAATAATTCAAAACTGTTCAGTAATATTTCAGTAACTAAACATGGCCGATTTTTTTTTTTGGGTTGATGTCTCATTCAAAAGCAAATAACTTTTGTATCGCTGGAAAAATAGCGGTTTAGAATTTTATAAGGAATCTAGTTTTCAGGATGAAACTCAGAAATCAGAACAGGGAACACAACCTCAAGCCCGGTTCATACTTCATGCGAATCGAATTTGACGTCATGAAACATTCCCTGCGAAATTCGCCCGAGCTGAAATGTGTTCAACTTTTACGAATTCCCAGCGTGAATACTTGTCATGACGTCACAAATTCGCGTTCACCTTCGCTTTCGCGCAGAGTATGAACCGGGTTTCAACGTGGGGGAAAAAATGATGAAATGTACACATCCATGTATGCATACTAAACTGGAGCAGATTTACTCAAACCGCATAACCAACCCTCAACAAGATAATGGTGATGTGGTGAAGGCCATACAGTGAGACAAACAGAGTCAAACACCAGAGGACAGATATGCAGACAAAACACTGACAAGAAGGGTGAAGACAGAAGCCAGCGTTTTGGAGAAGAAATACATGTGCAAATGCAGTAAGGCTTATCAGACGCGTGATGCATTGCAGATTTCATGTTCATGACAGCCTTTCGATAACGCTTTCTAAAAAATCCTTGCAACTTTTTAAATTTTTTTATAAATAGATATTGCAGACTTTAAGAATCATTGCCTGGTTCTCTGTAAATAAAATTATACAGGGTGGATAAAAAAAAACGAAACTGAGATATTATTGCTAATTGGAACAGAAGAAGGGCACATGTAAATCAAAGGGAGATATCCTCTGTTAGGGTTGAATCTCCTCTTTAAAATGACACCCTGGTCATGTCCTTACATTCATGGTTGACTGAGCAGTGACCAATTTTATGAAAGGGTCTATTTTAATAGAGGCTTGCGCCACTTTTCAATTGTGGTTTTTGTGGTGTCATTTGTCACAGAGTGAAAGGCTATGGTTGCCAATCAAGGCAGGTGGGGAAAAAAAAAGAAAAAAGAAGAGATTTCACCATGAAAAGTGGCGCAAGTCTCTAAATAGACCCTTTCATAAAATTGGTCACTGCTCAGTCAACCGTGAATGTAAGGACATGATCAGGGTGTCATTTTAAAGAGGAGATTCAACCCTAACAGAGGATATCTCCCGTTGATTCACATGTGGCCTGCTTCGGTTCCAATTAGCAATAATATCTCGGTTTTTTTTTTTTTATATCCACCCTGTACAGTGCCAGTGCAGTGGTTTCCTCTTTGTGGGTAACATCGTTAGTGTCCAATTATCAATTTTCCCCGAGCAAAGATGGAATCATGCTCTGCAATAATTAAAACATTCCTCAAGCAACATTTACAAATAACAGATTTCGTAACATGCTAGGTAGGCGCGCGCATGCACACTGGCAGCCTTTGCCATGGAGAAAAAAAGATAAATTCAACTGAAAGGGTTAAACTGTTAAATTTGGAAAAAAAAAAAAAATAGAGTACACAAAGTGAGGATTTTTTTTTTGGAAGCAGAAACTGGCATGTTATAGGTATTATAATGCATGATAAACATGTCAATTATGTAACTTTATAAGAGTGTAATTTCAATTCATGTACTGCACTACTTAACAACTGCCTTATTTTTTTTGTTGACATTCGTACATGTTAAGGATGTGACTCTGCGTTTAATTTTGTAGTCATTTAGCAAATATTTTAAGAACCGTTTAAAACGTTAAACGTTTAAGCTGTTCCATAAAGACTGACGTCTGCCCATTATGCAGACCAACGTGATTGACATGATCAACAATGATTGACACAATATTTAGCGGGCAGGCATTGAAAACGTAAAAAGTTAACTGCATGTACCGGTACGTGTACCCAAAATGTAATCAAGTTCAATGGTGCTTCTAGGGTTTTTCAAATTAAACGGGAATTGAAAACATCGTTAATCATTTTTGCTATGTATAACTCAAAGGAAGATCGTGTGTGAATGTAGGTCCCTTTTTTTAGAATTTGGATTTTGTTTAAATGTTTTGGAAAATTTGTAAACAGATTTTCTTTAAAATGTATTCACGTCACATCCCAAGCATATGTAATTTGAACTCTTAAGGAATACAAACACTGTTATAGATTTTGAGAGTATCAGCAACAAGACTGCACCACTCACAGACAGTAACACCCGTATGACAGTTTTTTAAAAACCAGAAGTGCCGACACTTTCCCAAATGAAAATGAATTTTAAGAACAATTGTTAATTATCCCTTTAGTGACTGTAGTGCCCGAAAAACCATCCTGCCCGTTACTCACTGTAACGGTACTTATAGCGCCCGAAACCGCCCAAGCACTCTATGGTTTTATTGATTCTTCAGTGAATAAAAACAATGTAATACACACATACTGAAATCTGTATCCTTGTGGAGACATTTCTTTGTTCTCGTGTAGTAAACTTGTCGAGTTTGAAAGTGTAGTTTCAAAATGCTCTTATTTTAACCAGAAATAATTTCCTTGGCTGAAATTTGGACTTAACATCCCTTTTCTAAAACTCTTCCATTTGCGACAGATCAACCCACCTTGGAAATTCCTAGTTTTTGAGTAAAATCCATATATCTATTTCGTGAAAACCTTGTGGAAACGTATTCATCTATAGAAATTGCCCTGTGGAGACGCATACAATCTTTTGTTCCCTATAGTGTGCATGTCTCCAGAGGGCACGTTGTATCAAATCAATGTAGTACATGTACTAATTTGTTAATTGTTTCTTTTTTTCCTCAGCTAATCACATACCATATTCATGCCAGTTTCTTGTGCATTTTTTTTTTAATGTTAACAGCGTAACATGAAAATCCGCAATCATGTTTGCATTTTTGCATCATTAAAAGCATTAATGCCTCCCTTAAAAGTAAAAAAAAATGAAAACAAACAAAATTCACCTGCATTCAAGTCGTTGCTAACAATAACAAGCTTGGGAACACCTGACCAAAAAAAATGCAAACAAGACATGAAAACAAATGAGCAGCCACCAAAATCAAAATAAGCGAGGGAAGAAAAAAAACAAACAAACAAAACTCAAATCCAAAGAGCATCCACACAGTTGCAGGAACAGAGACTCAACATGCCATGCAGCAAGGAATTGCAAATTTTTACAAAAAAAAGAGTTTAGAATGTGCTGAATATAATGACGAACATGCACACCAGCCAAAATTTTCAGAATCCAAAAAAAAATAATAATTTGATATCAATTTGAGATGCAGTGGCTTTACTGTGGGCTTATTAAAATTTTACTGAGAATATACCAACTACTTTATCAAATGATTGAAGGCAAGCTGACACCAGTACACAGCAAAAGTGTGTCCAAAAATGACAAAGGACAACAGAAGCACTCTAGTGTTTTAATTGTGTAGTTTGCACAGCTTGCCCAATATCACTTTATAAAGCAAAGGTATATTTGTACAAGTACTAATTTTGCTCCTGGAAGCATCTCAACAGTAACATATCGGAAAGTCACAGAAATTGTTTGGTTTCAGTGCAGATTTTTAGATTTTTCAATTGTGCATTTATAAAGCCAACGAGGACTTGTATCAAGTTTTTACACCATGGGCTCCACCTCGTAGCAACATGACATACAGATTTTATTCAGTTTTCTGTGTGTGAGGGGAAAATGGGTGATGTTCAACATATACAACATTCGCTGAGCTGAAAGTTCATCAGGTTAGTTGTTAAGCCCCATCTTTAGATTTTGAGTATTTTTGGCTTCAAACGAAAGAGATGCACAAATGACAAATGATGTACGCTACCAGGGTACCTTTAAGTATTCAGACGCAGCACTGCAAATCATTTGAAATTTGTCTCGTTTGTCATAATCATTAGAATTCGGAACGAGGGAAAAAAATTCTAGTCCCTTGAAGGTAAGCTACCGTGCATTCAAGTAGCTCGTGGTTTTTTCGCGAGCCCCCCCCAAAAAGAATCAATATTCTTGAAGTCACACCAGCAATTTCCATGGCAACGGTTGCTCAAAGCAAATAAAACATGAATAAATAATGCTGCTGAGCTTGGTGTTCATGACATCCGTGGAATCTCAATGTACAACACATGGGATTTCTAGCTGTAGTGTTTTTTCTGCATGGTGAAGCATGGTGGGTATACCTTTCCCCCTACCTTAATACCTTAATGAAATCGCAGCGAGTCCTTTGAGAGAATTTACCTACGCTTCTCTCAAACCCCACAGAAAACTTGAGCAAACATTCTGTATGTCAGTGCTATGACACAGGAGGGAGTTTTATCGCCCACGTTATTATTAAGTTCAAATAAAACCAACATCCAACCGACGTGTTTTCAGTGCAATGAGCCCACAGTCCACTTTGTAAGACAAACATTCAAATAGCCAAAAAAATACTAAAGAAATAAATAAAAAATAACTAAAAATCCATAAAAAAATAGTGCAAGGTGCAGTGAACAACAGCCAACGTGCAAAATAAAATTGGTTTCAAAACAAAATTTCACCAAAGAAAAAAAAGGAACGAAAAAAAATTTATGAAAGATTTTGAACTTAAAAATGAAAACAGCGTATTTTGAACCCATACCTGCCAGCTCAGCGGGAGCGGATCGAGGCGAAGTGGGCCGGGATGAGGGGCGTGAGGAGGAGGCACAGGCATCCAAGGAACCCAATTTGGGGTATTCCGAGATGGAGGCCTGGGCAGGTCATAATATTTGTCGGCAAACAACACACAAACACACAGACACGCAAAACAAACAAACAAACAAACCAAGGAGGGATCCAGCAAAATGCACAAGAAAAGAAAAAAAAGAAAAATATTGTCCAAAAACACCGAAAGTTGACAAGATTTGCGGATAGGCATCATAGTAGCCAGTCGGACACACGCACACACACAAACACCCACACGCACGGGGGTAGGGAAGAGACGAGGGAAAGGAAAGGTGGGGAGAAAACAAAAAACTGACTTGAGAAATCTAAATACGAAGTTAGTCATTATTTCTGGTTATTTTGTTTTCCCTGGCCACAGACGCATGGAGTAAGAGTCTGCCAGTGTTATGATCCGCACAAGAACTTGCCTGATGAATTCAGTTTTCTAATCTGAAACTTTTGCTGCATTTGGATAGCTGCAAACAAGTGCCTGGCAAATCAACTTATTTCTTGTGGACTGCGGGATCACAACCATGGCGGACTCTTTTGGCACACTGCGTGGCAGAACCGCACGGAGGGGAGTTTTCTCTGTCACACTCAATATCAGAAATGCTTTCTTGGGAATGTTAATTTAACATTGGATCACACAGCACTAACAAGTTTGCAAAACAAGCCAATAAATATTTCCCTAAAAATGCATCCAAAGACATGTGAAACCCACTGTTTTGATTTTGACTGAAAATGCCCAATTAACGGCCAACAGCATTTTTTTGGCAAGACCAAGATTTTTTTTCCTTCCAATTATATTGAACATTTTCTGAGGGAATGCTGTAATTTCTGTCGGTGCCTTTTTGGATGGTGGCATGTATATGTTGTAGAACAAATGACAAAAAAATCTAAAATGAGGGAACTGCATTGTTTTGCAACCAATTATCAGCAACTTCATGGCCGTTTTCGTCAAATGGAATTTAAGGAGCTGTGAAAGAGCATTGTCTGGGATTGAGTGCAATCAGAGAAATGTCCCCTGCCCTTGGACTGGTCTGCCACTTCTGTCCTGTTGGCCAGTCGAGTTACCTGACTCCTTGGGTGTGGATTCGGCATCTTCGCTAGTCGAGGTTGAAGGTGACTCACTGACAAAGGCCTAGGTATACGGCATCGTGGGGGGAAGGAAACGTTAAGACAACAATGGTACGTTGGCTTGCTGGAATCCGTCTTTCACAGTGAGTTGCAGAGATTTTATATCACTCCTTGTTATCAATCAGATATTCAAAGTTGGGCAAGATACAGCTTTTTTGGTTTAAAATTGAATGGAAAACATATATTCACATTCTCAGCATCTGCTAATTGCACACAGTTCAAAGCAATGGCAGAACAAGGTTTCCGTAATGGCCGTTAAATTTTCGGAAAAATGCTTGTTTTTGGATCTGCTTGAAAAGCAAGGCCTTTGGAGCATTGCTCAGCACATTTTGGTGGGATATCCTGGGCAAATACAATCGCTGTGAAAGATTAACTCCAGAAAGCAACGTTGCATTTTGTGAATATGTACAGGAAAATTGAAATCCTAGCGTCGTGTAAAACAACCCTCAATCAACATCAAATTAACCTACATGTAACTAGGTCAAGCTATTTTGTCCAGTGAACTATTTTTAAAAATATTTTCTGCCATCTCTACGTGAAAACTCCCTTTTTTCATGGTTCTCACAAAAGCTTTCTCACAACTTTTGAGGACTTAAGTTTTTGTATGATGTGCGGTGTACAGGGTGGTGCAAAAAGAGGGAGACCCAATTTTCACCCTACTTGTTGAGCATATTTCAAAAATTCAATTTAATGGTATTCTAATATTGATCATTAAACATACCATACATGTAAGTGACGAAAAAATGATTGCAAATGCATATTTTGTCTCTTAAGATATGGTAGTTTAAAAATGTGCTGTGCCAAATCTGTTTGTCCACAGATGGCTTTATTCCATCTGCTTGACTGAGCTCCGGAGCTTGATTTGAAGACAAAAACACTACACTAGACTTACACGTGGACAACAGTGATTTTGTTGACTTGTATTGAAATTAGCATAATAACACTATTCTAGCAATTTTTTAAAAGATTTTTTTTCACCACTATACTTCACTACATTATAAAAAAAAATAGTTCAAATAAGTTAAGAACCGGTAAGTAGGTTAACATTCCTGTCAAAAGTGGGTTTCCTTTTTTTTGCACTACCCTTTATATCCTAATGGCCGTATATAACGAGGCACTTTCTATTAAAATGTCTCCATAAACATGGTCCATGTTTTCACGACGCAAAAAGGTCACAACATGCTGACTGAAGTCATAGAGTTCAGAATAATGATGACGCTACATGTAATGTGTGTGTGAGTGAGAACAAGGGTCTTGTATTAGGGCCTCCCTTTTTAGTTCTATGGCTCTCATATTTTTTTACTCTGAAGTAGGGTTGTTCGATCGGCAAAACAAATCAAAATCTGAAGAACAAAAACAAGTTCACCTGTATAGATGGCTAAATTGCATGTAAAGCCCCAGTCACACATTCACAGTTGGAGCTACGAATATCCACAGTTTACCAAGAATCAATCGATCATGATGAACCGTCGAGATTCGTGGAGAAATTGACTTTCTAAAAATGCACTACGGTTTCAGGACGGATAGCCACGACTGTCGTACGGTTTCTCTACGAATACAGACGGATTGGTGAAGAATATCGACGGTATTACTAAGAATTGGTCATCACGGATGACCAAGGTTCTCCTACGAATAAACCGTGGATATTCGTAGTACAACCTTAGCAAAACCCTAGCACATCCGGGCATATCCGTAGGACATTCATAGAGATTTCTACCACGAATGAGCTACGAATACCCAAGAACATGCACGAATAACCATGAATAACACTACGAATAAGTACGGTTGTCCTACGGATGTCCCACGGTTGCACTGCGGATTAATTTTCATGACGGTTCACCACGGAAGTTATGAACAGTTTCAAGCTTCCGTAGCCCCTTCACAAATACCCAAGGAAGATGACGGATAACCATGGAGGTACCGGTACTAAGGATGAATACGGTACTCCCACGGTTTATCACAAATTTCAAACTGTGGATATCCGTAGCTCCAAACCGTGAATGTGTGACTGGGGCTTAAATGATGCCAAGTGCGTATTGTGTCTTGTTTTGTTAAAAGTGCAATGAGATGATCGTGAATAAATCCCTGATATGATAAGAGGTAACACCGTCACATATTCTGGGATTGTGCCGGTTGAAATACATTGTGCTTCGAGTACAATTTTTACTTTCCATAGCTCGGGCATGCAACTGGGAATTTAGAAAAAAACGAGGAAACTCCAAATCAAACCAGACTTTGTACAGCATTTTTCAATTTGTAATGGCATTCATGAGAAGTAAAAAACAAGGAAATCAGCGGATCCGGGAGTCAGGTTGGCGTAGCAGTACTTTCCTCACCTTCCACCGCTGTGACCCAGGTTCCAATGTTGCCTGTGCCAATATGTGGATTGGGTTTTCAGTCCCTGTCTGATTCCGTGGGTTTTCCCCAGAATATTCTTCTGGGCTTTTCCTCCCACCTCTAAAACTGTAATTTCTTCTCATTGTCTTCTCACCACAGGTTTCTTCAGGCTTGCGTGCTACAGTGCCTAGGGCGCTTTTGAGGAATCCTTGGTTTCATAATAATAATAATAAAAAAAGTTGCATGCCTGATAGCTTTTCAAATAACATGGAGCCCAATTGCCTGAATTTAATATTCATTTTTTAAAATTTCATTAATACATTCTCAGTGGTGGTTCCAAACAGGGCCGGTCGTAATAAATAATATTTTTTCTTAGGTCAGGAGCCAAAATAGAGTCAGTCGAAAATGAGAACCAAAGAAATAAAAAAGAGATTCCTTCATGAATTATGAAAGTCTGTATGTCCGTCTCTGCTGGAAAACAAAAATCTGATTGACAAAATTTCTCCTGAAAATGAATTATCAAGAAAACTGTATTCCTGAATCGTGAAAGCCTATATTTGGTCATCAAAAATAAGGTGCTTATGCGCAATGTGTGATTAGTTTAGCCCAGGGAGGCTTCTTCCAATTTAATACTTGCACTGTAATTTCTCTAGTTACTTACTGTAGGTCGATTTTCTGTGCACAATGGTCTAATGATCTAAACTTACATGTATCTAATGCTAACTGATTAGCAATTCATTTTGAAATTTGATTTTTCGAGGTACTGGTACTAATCTTCAAACCAAAAGCACGGATGAGCCATTTTTAAGGTTTTTGATTGGTTCACACAACACAACCAGCCTCAACCGTTTCATAGGAAATTCAAACACAGCTCAACCATGGTTCAATTATGCAGAGTAAATATTTGTCGATGTCAATCCATTGATATATACATTTTTCTTTTTAGCGCCAAGAGTACAGTGCCATCATGTGCTCTGTTAATACGCAATGTGCCGTTATCAGATACGGTAAGATACAGAGAGGTCGCAGAAAGGTTAACATAACTGTTTTACATGTAAATCGGAGTTAAAAAAAAAAAAAATTCAATTTGGAATGCTGAAACTCAGGGGGTTTCATGAGAAAATTTGGTTTTTGATTAAGAAATTTCAACCAACGTCTAATTAAGTCAACAATTTAAGTCAACTCAAGTGGGTGTGGCTTATAATGGCTCAATCTTTTATTGTGCAACCAAGGAAAAAATTATTAAAAGATTTGAAAACTGCAGGACCTGTACTGCCACTTGGCGTGGAAAAATTAGAAGAAAAAAAAAACTATAAAAATTAGAAAAATAAACCTGTGCCAGCAAGGGGATGACTTCTTCCAGTTACCTTTTTCCTGCGTATTGACAATTTATCGCCAGTGACGCCCATCTCAGACAGGATCTCGGCCATTCTCTTGGGGTTGATACCGCAGTTTGGCGCAACGTTCTTGTCGCATCTCTTGTGGACGTTCATCTTGCACGCTGGTTTTATAAGAGAGAAAACGAAAAAAAAAAAAAACAACAGAGTTTAACATGTGCATGTATGTATATTGTAGTGTACCTTGAAATACATTCGTCAGTAACGTGTAACCTGACGAGGTATTTTAAAATTTGTAAACATTCAATGAAGGCATACATTTTCCTGCATGTGATTAAAAAGACAATTGTGACCTGTTCTGTCAAAAGCAGACGCTTTTGGGCAGAGGTTGAAATTAAGATACCGGTAGGGCCAAAAAACGCTGTGGGGTGATTTTTTTCGATTTTCTAATTTTTGCATATTTGTACCCTTAAACATGTCTAAAATATACTATAAAAGTTTGAAACCCTCATTTGAACTCTAAATAAAGTATTTTGGATGATTTGTTAAGGTATATCAGTTCAAGAAATGTCACTTGAAATAGACCTGTCTTAAAATAGACCCCAAACTTTAACTGCCATTTTCTCCGTTTCCTACTTTTCGAACTTTAAAATAGCATAGTTTGCCCAGGAATGACCGACCGGTTTCAAAAATAAAACCACCTATTAAAAGGAAAATGTACCGGTATTTCAACAATATGCTAAAATCTCATTTTTGACCTTGTGCCCAGAAAAGTCTGATGTTGACAGAACAGGTCACAAATCTTCATTCATATTGCTTTAAACAAATTCAATAATATTTAACCTCATGGGCTCCGTGCACAAGTACAATGTACCCCCAATCAACGGTAAGAGAGGGTGAGTTGGGGGAGATGACTTGGAGGGACATGCTGCCTGATGTTCATGCGAAGACACCGCTGCTTTGTGCACATTCTGATTAAAGTTAGTCGTGCTACTTCGTGCTATATGCACGGGAACCAGTACGCGCACGCGGTGTGTCCCATCCACGGGGCTCTTAAAAGCGCCCTCTCTAGTTCGCGCACGGAGCCCATAGAAACTAAAAAGCGGTTTTGTTGAAAAATCTTAACAATTACATGTCAGTACCAACTTCGAGGTGCACTTCAACAAAGTCAGCAGACTATGATACAGTTTGATTTCACACATATCTTGATGCAGGCACGCAGTGTGACTGTTACACTATAAGATCATCAGTGATTGCAGGGAAATTCCAAACGTAGAATGCTGCGGTTTGCCGATACCGAAGTATCAGTTAGCAAGAAGCAACCAACACAATCTGTGATGTTTCCAATTACATAAATGCAATTGGGAATGTTACACTTTGCCTATCTTCACATTTAACTTTACATGCTTTATTTATATAAACATGGAATTTGCGTCGGGATGATGTAAATTTTACATTTGGTTTTGCCCTTCGCAAGGGTTTTTATATTAGCCAGCCGACCCTGGCTAGCTCCGTGATTGAATTGTAAGACATCTGCACTAGTACCGGGATAAGCACAATGTCATGGGTTCGAGTCCCGCCTGAGTAAGCTTGTGAATTTGTCTCGCAAGGCCTCAGACAAAACTGATTGCACATGTACAGCGTTTATAAATACATGCGATGGACAAAACCTAACATAAAACTTTACAAGCGTTTTAGTTTGTGCACGTTTGGTAGAAAACTGTTCCAGTTCGCAGGATCTGTAAGTAGAGCTTTTACTGTGATGCGCAACAGCTGTTAGAGTGTGCCGCATGCTGAAAATAGCGCCCTCTACAAATGAGGGGGAAATTGCCTCAATTAAAGCTTTGTCCCTACATGAACATGTAGCTGTGGATTTTTATCTCAGGCTTCAGAATTGTGGCGTCCTTCCGAACACTTGCCACAGGTGATCTTTCCCACCTACATGTACATGTATTTACCCCTAATCGTTTCAAACATCAAATGATTCCTGTACTTTACTCAAATCTTTCTAATAATTTCTTTCTGCACGACTCTGGAAAACACCAGTTTGAAATGAGTATTAGGCCCCCCAAAAAAATTAGACGGTCTCTGGTCAGCGCGCGCGTCGATTTTAATCATGCGCTTCAATCTTTTTTTTTTCCAAAATGTTCCGCGGTAGCTCCAACAGCGCCCTCTATTGCCGCACCTCCTCATTTTTTTTTTTACCAAAGAGCACCAAGGAATGGGAAATTGCACCAAGGCAAATGATCGAAAGCACCAAGGCAAATTATGGAGGACACCAATGTACATGAGGACACCAAAAAAAGCAAAATAGTACCCCACCTTGTCTGTACAATCCAAGCTTGAAGAAAAGAAAAAAAAAGCCGCGTCCCCGCGTCAATTCCGGAACTTTGGTCTGACCAGAGACCGAATATATTTTTTTTTGGGCCTTACTTACAGTATGTTCTTTTTGCATCAAAGAAATCAAATGTGCCCAGTAGTATCAACAGTGCAATAATCCTCCCTTCTAGTTCACATTTGGCTGTCCATATGATAATGTCACTTCATCCCTCATTGCCTTCCCTCCCTCCTCCCCCACCCCTTTGCGTCTGCCTACGGTACCTTCACACTGCAACCCTTGCCGTAGTAAGCCGTAGAGCAGTGAACCGCAGTGGTCACAAAAGGTTGGCTTCTTGAAACTATGAACGCTAAATCGATGTGGCAAGTTGATGTTGAAGCGCTGTGACTGCGACTGGGACTGCTGGAAGGTAGAAGGATAAGAGAAGAAATAGTATGAAAAAAAGGAGACAATTTTGAAACTCGGTGGAAAAAGTTAGAACACTAAAAAATCCCAGCTGAAGGTGTAAATGTATGTTTGTATTTGGGTCATTCCACCGGGTTGGGAAGCAGTGCATGTTACATCCATATATTTGGTTATACTATTAAAAGTAGCAATGCATTCTAAACAATTGCTTAACATAATATTTGTCTTAGGGAGTTTAAATATTTGAGAAAGTTTGAAATCATTTGAAAAGTACTTTGACAAAAATATGAGCAAAAATGTATTAATTCGGACGGAACATTGACACCGTGTCAATGTTACATCCAAAAATTCTTTTTTTGCCATATTTTACATGTATGTAAAATATGACCCAAACTGACATTGTATATTTACAACTGGACACCTAAGCACCAAGAAAAGCTTTTGTTTTGGTATAGTCAGGGTTCAAATATAGCAGAAACAATACCTCAAGTGTGGATGTAACGGTGTAAAAATCACTCAATGGAAGTGTGACATTTGGGTTTTACTGTACACCGTGTAAATGTTACGTCCGCACAACCAAGCTATCATTTCTGCTCCATTTGATGTCTGACTACCATAACAAAAGCTTTTCTTATTGTGTTGCATCTATAGTAAGAAGTACCGGTATGCAAATTAAATTTGGGTAATGTTTCGCAGAAATTTAAAAAACAGGTACAAATGTCATATTTGGACGTAACACTGACATGGCGTCAATGTTACATCCAAAATGACATTTTTTGCTCATATTTTTGGCAAAATACATTGAAATGATTTCAAACTTTCTGCAGTAGTGAAACACCCAACAACAAATATTATGTAGAGCAACTGCTAGCAAGGCATTCATGCTTTTCTTAATATGGTCATATGTGGAATGACCCATTTACATGTATGTTTACCTCCTAACAATATGTACAATTCATAAGATGGAATTTTGTGTCGGGGTAACGTAAATCAAATTAGGTTTTGCCCTTCACCGACGTATATATACACTGTATTAGATTCAAACCAGCCAACTGATCCCGTTAGCTCGGTGGTCGAGTGGCAAGACGTCTGCAATAGAGAGCAGGAGGTCGTGGGTTCGAGTCCCACCCAAGTGATTTTTGTCCAACTTTCACTCGGGAGGTAACACACTGAGTATATAGTGTATACGTCAGTGAAGGGCAAAACCTAATTTGAAAATGTACAATGTACATGTGATAATCATATAAATTTTGTCAAAACCTTAAAATAAACCCTCATTGGTTTGTGTATGTAACTCATTTTGGTTCACATGGCTTCATTAGAAGGAAAACCTTTTAACCTCAAATGAAAATATTTTTATCTGGATGAAGAGGTATGATGAACAACTTGTATGATATTTTGTGCAGTTACATGTAAATTGGCCTATTTACTGGACTGCCTCCGTAAACATAGGCCACACATCCACATGTACAAAAATCGTGTCGACTTTGCCAAATTAAGATTTTCACATTAAGGCTTAGTTTGTAGGGTTTTTTGGCTTTAGAAGCATACTCACCCTCTTTATAGGCTAATCAGAAAGTGCTGCCTTTTTCAGATGTATATTTTTCGTGAAATTTCCAGATTCATTTTCACACGTTTGCGTATCAAAATTTCAACATGAAATTTCACAAAAATTAGACATCTGAAAAAGGCAGCACTTTCTGACTAGCCTATAAAGTGGGTGAGTATGCTTCTAAAGCAAAAAAATCCTACAAACTAAGCCTAAATGTGAAAATCAAAATTTGGCAAAGTTGACACGATTTTTGTACATGTGGACGTGTGGCCTATGTTTACGGAGGCAGTCCAGTAAATAGGCCACATTTATGGGGCTATAGTGTGGACAGACCCACATGTATGTAACAGTCCAGTGTTTACCCTGCCCATTCAATTGCGAGGACGCATGCCTCACAAATTTTAGTAGCCGTCTGGGATTTTTTTCGCTATAAATACTGCCTCACGAAAGATTTATTATTTTGTGTAAATTGTGGATTATTTTTCTATTTTGTACTTGTTTCTAAAACACAAAATCACCAGTTTTTCCACTCCAGACAAAAAGCTACATTGGATATTTACCGATACAAAATCATCAATCATTCAAGTACGTGTAGGACAACCGTGTACATGTGTATGCACAGCGCAAATCACAGCACTGTACATGTACATGTACATGTAAGCCTTCAGTACGTGTACGGTGTACATGAGGTACATGTACATGAGCTACCAGCAGGTAGCTTTGCCCACTTTGGAAACATCAATTTGGGTGTAGGGGTGTGCCGTCAGCGGCACATTGCGCCTATGTATCTTTCAACATACCATTTTCCCGTATTTTCCCATAAAGTTTTTTTTCTGAAATGCGGGTATTTTTGTTAAATATTACCGCAGACATTTCATTACAGTTTTTTTCAATGTACATGTATGCTGTGATCCTGTAGAGAATTCAAAGCACCCCGAAGGCATAAATGGATTTTTCCAAAAAAAGAAATAAGGCTGGTCAGTCCGTCCGTTTCCTGGCTCTATGGTCGGTCCTACTTCAAATTTGGACGCAACAATCATCAATGTAGTCTGTCATATCACTCTGCAATATTATATCGTTTACAAGTCATAAAAAAAACACATAGCCGAACAGTTTATGCCTTGCATCGCCAATATAAAAAAAAAAAAAAAAAAAAACCTTAACAATTTTGACCAATGTTTCCCGGCTTTTGTCAACATGCATGATTGATAATGCAATGAGTGCCATGTAGGTACACGTAGTTACATGATGAGCAACCCGAGTAAGGCATCTATCAATTTACAGGCCATAGACCACTAAATTAATGTGCTTTCAGTCTGTCAGTATTGAAACTCAACAATGTTGGGTGTTTTTTTCCCCTTCTTTTTCTTTCTTTTCTTTATTTAAATGTCAGGGACAGACGGTGCAACACATGGTTGCAATTAACTGCGTTGAAAAAAAAAAAAACTATTAGATTTCCCTGGGAGGTGGGAGGAGGATCTTTTACATGGAGAACAGGTCGCACAAGCGAGGTATGCTGGATGCTTTCAAAGACACCATTAGACTTTAATTACATCTTTAGTATAATGTGGCCGTCTTCATGTTCGAACGCCATGCACTGAGTGTTATACAATGCACATGTTTGTGTACAGCATTACAAGCAAGACGTTCTTGCATTATAACCCTAACTCCCTAGGCATTTTTGCTAGGATGCAACCTCAATCCTGAAAAATCCTCCAACTGCCTTCATGTAAAAATTGCATACAGCCTCAACCCTGCAAAAATCCTCCGTTTATTCCTTGACTGTGGTCCTTGGAGGGGTGACCACTGCCTCAATCCTGCAAAATCCTCCAGCAACCACTGTCAATATGTTGAGGCAGAGCCAGTGACATCCTGGAGCAGTGCGTAGGATTTCATCACGAATAAAAAGCAGTAGGCCTAAATTTATGAGCTGCTGAGCATACACAACACAAGGTCCGGCCCAAGACCTTGACACAGTGCATCCTCCCAAATCAGCCACACACTTTTGCCATATAGCCTCAATCCTGCAAAATCCTCCATTTTGTAAAGAGGATTTTGGAGGATTTGGGAAGGTTAGGGTTGAGACTTGTAGCATCTTTTTGTGGGTGCAAGGTGGCAAATCATGGCAAAATGTAATTTATCTCTAGCTTTTGAGAGGGTAATGAGATGGTGCATACTCCACCATATAAGAATTGATATCATGTCTTAGATACTGCAATTTCATTGGTCTAGAACAGCCACGTGTCCAGTCTATAAAAAAATGACTGTTTTTACATCGTATTCACCGTGTTGCATATACATGTACTCCGTATACACTGTGTTGCATACAGGGTGAATAAAAAAACCTCGAAACCCAAATGTTGGGACCATTGTTTTAGGGAAGTTCTGCATGTAGCATTTTCAAAATCTAGGATATGAAAGCCCAATTCATAAGCTTTCTTTTAGTACAAGAATCATTCAAATCACTCATGTACTTTTCAAGTTACGGAATTTTTTAAACACAACCACCGTTTAAAGGTTCTGTCCACGGATCACAAAAAATTTCAGTGTTCTTTCAGCAAAACGAAAGGAAATCACAGGGATGTGTGTGAATTGCTTTCGTTTTGCTGAAAGAATGCACACCTTTTTTGTGATCCGTGGACACCACCTTAAAATGGCGGTTGTGTTTAAAATTCCGTAACTTGAAAAGACCATGAGTGATTTGAATGATTCTTGTACTAAAAGAAAGCTTATGAATTGGGCTTTCATATCCTAGAGTTTGAAAGTGCTACATGCAGAACTTCAATCAAACAATAGTCCCGACATTTTTGGGTTTCCTTTTTTTTTTACTCACCCTGTATACCGGTATGTTAACTCATATGCACTGCGTTGCACTAATTGCCTTGCACACACAGCCCCGCGTGTGCATGAAGAGTGCATGTGTTGGGCCCGCGTGCCTCGCAACAGAGCACTGCAACCTCTCAATCTCATGTCTGGCAGGAAAGCTCACAGTAATCAAAAGGTTACACGGCGGTGATTCAATCTATTTCTTGAATACCGAATTCAAAGTCTTTTTCTTTTGACTCCTGCATGATATAGCAAAACTATTGTTGACGGCTGTGATGTGGGATATGTTGGATTTATTACACCGTCTTGGCGAATAGCACCCTGCCTTTGCATTGGGTGCTATGCGCCCCTCAGGTGTTCAAAATGCCATATCCCACATCACATCCGTCACCAACTGTTATACCTCTGTCTGAATACTGTATTTCCATTGACCTAGAACGATGACTACGCTATGATGACTTTGTGCGTACGGTACCTACGGTGTGAAATGCTTATATCGTTGGTACCCACGCTATTTTCACCATGTTTTCACACATGAGTGGGAGCAGCGAACTAGCAGACGATCAGCTGTTTCGAGCACGCGACATGCATGTGAGTTGACGTTCGATTGTCATGATTGCTGTGTTTACTGCTGTTAGTTTTCATGATTTTTACATCAAAATCCAAAGAATGCAAGACAGAGGTATAACAAAACGAGGCACGTATCACCCTCGGGTGTTCAAATGTCATATCCCACATCACAGCAGTCACCAACTGCTCAATGTTTCCTTCCACTAATTGGTTTGCCCATGCCCACTGATCACCATGTAGGGTGCTGAGAACCTCTAATTTCTTTGAGATTATATACATTTTTTTTCATTTCCGAGTGTGCCAGAAATGTGCATACAGCACAGTGTACACGCATCGACAAGGAGCTACGCACTTTCATAGTAGCAGCCTATTTTCCTTTCGCAACATTTTGCGGAAGAGACCAGTGGTCACCCGTGCTGTTGGATGGGTACCAGCGAAACTTTGTTGGTTTCATCATAGAAAGCAGCTTTACCTCTTTTACGTCATCCTTGTGTCCTGGACATCGTGAGACTACGACCTCATGACATCGCTTATGCACCACCACTGTACACACTGAAACGAAGCAACAAAAAAAATTAATGCATCGTTACACGGCTTCGGTGTTTCAGACAATATACGGGCCACTGCCAAACTCTAACTCTTAAAAGAGGAAGGTTTTCACCGCTTTACAGCCAAGAAGGAAATCAATCCAACTTCCTTGTCCCCAAAATTCTCGATCGTCACTTGACAATTTTACTGAAATTTGGTATACATGTAAGAAACTGTGAAAGGAGTGTGGCCTAGTGGTTAGGGTTCGTGACTCATGATCAGAGGGTCAGGGGTTCGAATCCAGCCACTGGCCATATGTTGTGTCCTTGGGCAAGGCACTTCACCCCCAATTGCCTCTTTCCACCCAGGAGTACAAATGGGTACCGGCATTAGCTGGGGAGTAACCTGCGATGGACTGGCATCCCATCCAGGGGGAATTGAAATATTCTCAGTCGTTTCATGATACTGAAACCGGAGATAAACGCCGGCCTTTTAATAAAAAACCCGTTTCATTACTAAGAACACCGGTAAAGCTGTGCGCTAGTCAGACAAACCGTTTGGTATTAAGAACCAATGCGTGTACGAACATACATGTAATTCACGCGTATGCAAAGTAAACTTGACTTCACTAGAATGCAAAAAACGACGTAAATTTGACATCATGAAACTTTTGTTGCGAAAATCGCCGGGGTCAAAATGTGTTCAACTTCTGCGAATTTGCAGTGCGAAAACTGGCTGTGACGTCACAAATTAATGTTTGTTTTCATGCCGAGTATGAGCAGGCCTTAATGTTCTTGATCGGGATTCACAGTTTATAGGAAAAAAACCCGAACTTTCAGCGCCGTAAGAGGCATTATCCCGTTGTGTCAATAGAGAGGAAGAAAGGTCAGTTTTCAAGTAGGATCAGGAGGAGATCGAAAAGAAATGTGCGAGTGGAACTCTTGAGTATCGGTCTGCATTGTATCCTTACCTTGACACTGATACCCTTGCATGTAAAAACCCCTGAAAACAAAAAAGAAAAATATTAATGTTTTCAAAATAAGAAAGGGACAATACAGTGCTACAGTATACAGAATCACACAGCCTACCGGTACACAACGTGACAGTTGCAAAAATCATAATGTCATGAGTGCACGGCATAAAAGCAGACATTATCTTGAATGTACAGTATTGTCGTGTACACATTTTCCATTTTCCTCTTATCATCCAAGATAAGTCAAGGTTCACCAGTAACAGTTCTGTGACCCGGATTTACTGTTGGAATTCTTTCAAATTCGGCAGACCACTTGTGATCACTTCCTTGAAACGAAGTGTTCACATGAGTACTTGCAGACTGTATAAACATCAAGCAAAAGAAAACAAAATTCAACCATTCAACTTACATGTATGTGCATGTCATTTCTCTCTTTAACATGCACTTTGCAGGGAAAACTATGTTCATTCATTCACACGGCTGAATCTACATAAGGGCTTCAATTTCACAAAGATACCAGTACATGTACATATTACCAGTGAATCAACAGAGTGTTTTTCGTGGACATGTAGTTAAGGCCAAAAACATAATAGTTCTGCTTCCGGTAACCCTACCTACCCTATTTAGACAGCCCTACCCTAATTTTATTTTGGTGGAAAATGAGGGGAAAAACCTGAAAATCATCAATTACCACCTTTTGCCCTTGACTACACGCAGACACCTCCATATGATCGTACACAAAAAAACTGCCCCCCCCCCCCAAAAAAACCCCAACAACAACAAGTTTACCTACCTACGGTACCTACCCTATTTTCAAATGCCATGTAATCAGAAGCAGAATTTTTTTTTGGCTGTCCTTACATGTAGAATATATACATGTACATTGTACATGCACTGGAGTAATAAAAGTGAACATACTGCTGTAATAACAAATTAAGAAAACTCCTGAGCTTACATGTACATGTTAATTCAACATATTTACATGTACAAAGTCTCTGTTTTTCCCCATAAAATCTGTCTTTTCGCTCAATTAATCTCGCTCAAACTTTGCCTAGATGTCTGCGTTCTGCAAATGTTTATAGCTCACGTAATGCAACATGGGCATTCTGGGGAATCTCCTCCGGCTGCAAATTGCTGAAGGGGAAATCCTTGCCTAATTCAGTTACGAGGGAACAATCTGTGGAAATCAGGTTTGCATTCGCCCCTCCAACTGAAACAAAATATCTCTTGTGAAAATTCACTGTGGGAGGGTGGAGTGGTGTCGGAGCCACGGCTAATAATTCAGTACTAATGGCATTGTAGCCAGGTCCCCGCCTCCAAGACCGGTGCCACATCCTTGCATTATACATTAACCCAGATTTAAGATGCTTCAGTGCAGTTGCCACGGTAACTGCTTAGTCAGTGTGGGCGACCCATTGCCGCTGCCGTTAATATAACCGCCGTGACATCCATTGTCGGCTTTGCCCGCCCCACTGCCGGGTTCGGTAGCCACGGCGATATTTGACAGCAAGATTTATCACACCTGTGCGCGCGCGCGCCCTGCAAAGCTGCCGGACCGTACCGGTATTTGCACCAGACAAATTTGATGATTAAAATAGGTTGAATGAACTGGAGCCGTTGATTTAATTGTTAATCAATAATCACACAAGGTATAATATACAGGTACATGTACATGTAGATTGGCTAAACGAACGGTGTACCATTGTCTGTACTTGTATCAGATGGTACAGTTTCTTCACAAAGCAAGGTGTCTTGTTGGCAGTACATTGTAGCAACATGATGTGTATGTGTGCGTACGGTAGGCTACATGTTCAACTTCAGGGTGGTGCTAAAAGAAGGAAACCCACTTTTGACAGCAATTTTCACCTACTTGTTGAGCATATTTCAAAAATTCAATTTAATGGTAGTAAAAATTGATCTTTAAACATAAGTGACGAAAAAATGATTGCAAATGCACATTTTGTCTCTGAGATATGGTAGTTAACAAATTTCATGTGCCAAACCTGTTTGTCTACAGACGGATTAATTCCATCCGCTTGACTGAGCTCCGAGCTTGATTTGAAGACAAAAAAACACTACACTTGACTTACACGTGGACAACAGTGATTTTGGTGACTTGTATTCAAATTAGCATAATAACATAATAACACAATTTTTTTTAAAGATTTTTTTTCACCACGCATGGTTGAAGAGCTATACTTCACTACATCATAAAAAAAAAAACCAGTTCAAATAAGCTGAGTAAGTAGGGTAAAATTCCTGTCAAAAGTGGGTTACCTTCTTTTTGCACCACCCTGTAACTCTAGCGAATGAAAGCTTTGGACTAAAAATATTTCATATAAATGTTCAAATGACGTTGACCAAAAAAAATCAGGTCACTGTCTCAAGCAGCCCCCATGTGAGAAACCATGGTCGGCTCTCTGTATGCAAATAATTAATGCCAGTTACAACATTTCTGACATTTAAAACTTTCATTTAAAGAGAGCAAAATGTTCACTTACCAGATAAAATCCTTACAATGTGAACAGTACGTTGGTTGTCGCAAAAATGTTGCCATGAATTTGTGCCCGTTGATTTGATGTACCCTCCGTCGCACCGCCCCGCGCCTCTTTCGCATTGCATTTTCCCGGACTTTGAAAACCTTCTCCTTTGGTGGATCTGTAAACATATTCAACCAAAAAATACATAAATAAATAAATAAAATTTTAAAACATTAAAAATTAAAAAAGTGATAACGAATTGAACTGTTATCAGGCATGCAACTGGGAAATTTAGAAAAAACGAGGAAACTCCAAACCACCCAAGATTTTGTACAGTGTTTCTCAATTTGTAATGGCACTCATGAGAAGTAAAAAACGAGGAAATCAGCCGATCCGAGGAAAAGTTGCATGCCTGTGTTATGTAATTTCATGATCAATAAAAAGGCAGACTAGAGATTTGCATTTGTTTTTGTTACAACTGCAGGATGATTGGGCAGGCAACTATTTTAATGGACATTGCCCAGTTCAATCGTGAATACTTAAGCAATATACCGGTATTTGCTAAATAGTTATACATGTACAGTACATGTACGTGAAAAGAAGTTGGTCTCTTTTTTTGAACCGTCATTTGCAATCTGATACCGGTACATGGATGACGTCATGATGATGTCACAGTAATATGCACACCGGATCAAGGTCGATGATCATTCCAAGTTTCAAGTTTACAAATCATGTACCGGTTTGAAGAAAAGTCGTTGAGATTCACTTACAATTGTACAGGTACATGTATACAAATGTAGTACAGGGGGAAACAAAAAATCTAAAACAGTGATTGGGTTGTGCGAATCACCCAATGACAGGCTTTGTACATCAATAAACTGAAATCCCGAAATTTGGCTTTGCCCTTGACCAACATACATTTGGCAAATTTACATGCATACATGATGCAAAATTCCAATTTGCATCCATCGGAACACGTACTTTCAGTTTCGCAAGGACAAGTTCATTTAACTGTGCCTACTTGGAAACGAATATCAAATGCGAAGGACATGGATGCCACTTCATGATGTACTTTCATACTCTAAAAGTTAAGTGCCGAGAAGCCGAATCTTGAACTGTGCACAAGGCTTACTATCCAGCACTACATGTAATCAATTCCCCCCCCCCCCCAGCATCCAAGGGTTTCTTACCCCCAGGTGGGGATTGTCACTTTCAGTGTCAAACCCTGGGGCACCATTGCCGACACAAAAGTAAAGTGAGTGATTTGTATTTGAAGTGATATGAAAAAGGCAAGAATCGTCCTGGAGAAAACGTGACCAAAATCCCCACATAATGGGCGGGGCAGTGTACGGTGAGGGGGAGGTGGAGAAGAAGGCGAACAATATGAGAAGTGAACAATATGAGAAGTGAGGAGAACAATATGAGAAGTGAACAATATGAGAAGTGATATGAAAAGGCAAGAATCGTCCTGGAGAAAACGTGACCAAAATCCCCACATAATGGGCGGGGCAGTGTACGGTGAGGGGGAGGCGGGGGAGAAGGAGCACCTCAGTAAATCGTTATGTGTATCACCATGTGTATGTACCGGTATTATTAGGATCACATACATGCACGTACATGCATGTTATATGCAGTACTCTTCATGCAACTCTCCACCTGGTCTTTTACTATGTACAATGTGTGCATTGCATTCTGGGCCATTAAAGCTATAGTCCATCATTTGCAGCCATCCGAAAAAGTAACTGGCGTATTATTGATGAAAAACATACTTGGTTGAAAGATAGTAAGTGGAAAAAACTCCCTGTGAAATTAATCTTTCTGGCAAGCTATCATTTTGAAGTAAACAACGAAAGAAGGCTTTTCCAACGGTGTGTCTTAAGACGCACCGTAGGAAAATTTAAATTAGTAGTTCGTTTTTTATTAGGCGAAGCGCGCGCAAGCATTGGCACGACGCACAGGCGCGCACGGTTGCTATAATTCGTCGGATCAGTGCGCGACATCGCGTATAGCGGCAATTCAAAACAATTCAAAACACGATTCAGCAACTTTTGATTTGAAATTGAGATCCTAGAATGCTGTTTTTCTCGGAATATACAGCTGAAGCTGAGCTGAAACTTCATCAGGTTAGTTGTTCAGTATCCTTCATTAGATTTCGAACACTTTTGTTGCTTCAAAGGAACAAAATGCACAAGTTACAAATGATGGACTATATCTTTAATGTTAGAGCCAATTTATATGTGTAGCAGTACTTGTACACAAAACATTGAAACAAAAAGGCTAAGACACTGTATTTTCAGGATTTTTATTTATCAGGAAAATCCTACAGCTACCGGTGTACAGTCAAAATTGTGAAAGCATTAAATAGTTCCGATTACATGTGCATGCAAAAAAGACGACTTTTTCTCCCTGACATTTCATTAATTGAATCGCCAAACAGAGCTCCTGGCCCAAAGAATGTACATTAACCCACAGATACACCGAAAGTGGGGAGTGGGGGGGGGGGGGGGGTCACTACACTCTTTATGCTAACCACTACATGTACAATAGTGCCTGATTTCTGTTCAGGGTGGCATTTATGGGCCGTTAGTGGCGCTTAAGTTACCGCTGAAAATAAATAACTGTAAAGGTCATGTACAAAATCTATTGTCGGTTGGTCTGGACTCCGTTTGGGCTAAAGTTTCACAGTCGGATAATACACTGTGTAATTCGATAGTTGCCATTTCTAAATGAATATGACAAATTCCATGTTAATTGTAATTTGGTCCGTCTGTTTGTTTATGTGTATGCCAAATCGGGCAGGAAAAATGAATTTTTTTGCCATTTAAATGTGCACAGTGGTTCATACTGAATTCATTCTTTGCACAAAATCATATAAATGCTATGTGCTTACATATAGGTCGATCAATCGAGTAAAAAGTAAATCTTGTACAGGCTTTTTGAAAAAAATTAAGGAGGCAGGCACTCCCTCCCCCCCCCCCAAATGGCAATGTTTCCAAGATTGATTCTTCGATTTTCTCGAATCTTTTGCTGATACAAAATTGTTCCTCAAAGGTGTCATAACCCTTTCTATATAATTGTAGCTACAATTTTGTTGGAAACAAATTAAAAGACAATATCTTGTCAACATAATTTGCAAAATATGTTGCCAAAATATGTTGCAAATGTATGATCTCCTTAAGTGTAAGAGCTACATCTTTAGAGAGTAGTCTGGCAATGTACTGTGGGTACATCAAGGAAGGGCGTAGAGGTTGACCATGTCGTCTTTTGGTTTTCTCAGCGCATGTCCAAGCCATTTAAGCTGCCGCTGGTACGTAAATGGTGATGGAGAGGGGCTGTTGGTCCTGTTATTTCATGCATTTCATCATTACTGATGTGGTCTCTCTGCCTGATCTTCAAAATGATACGGAAGCAGTTTGTAGCAAAGCTATTGAGGTAAGCTTTGAGGTGTTCGGTCACTACCCACGATTCACAGGCATACAAGAGGATGACGAGGCATGAAGTTTGGAAGATCTTGAGCTTGAGGTCAAGATGAATTGTTTGTGATTTCCAGATTTGTTCAAGCTTTCAGAATGCTGCCCGGGGTAATGCTCTTCCACGACGTACATCTTATGTTCATCTTGGTCTAATGTACAAAGTCTAAAACAATCATGTTCATATAAATGGGTCATTCTATAAATTTGGGGTCCACTTTCATCCTGTCCCTGTTACAGGGTACATCCAATATCTACGATGAGAGATTATGAATGGCAAACTGCCTACCCACAAATAAAAAAATTTTTCGAAGTCATTCTTAACTAGAGGTTGAAGGAACAACCACACGGTGTTGGGCCATGGATTACCGCAAACTTTGCCACACACATCAACAAAATATGCATGTTTTAATCCATGTTTGACTTTTCAACATGCCGCCAGAGGGCGCTCTGACATTTGATGACGTCACCTGTAAAATTTGTGTACAGTGCTGCGTAGGCAGACACTCAAATCGTTGAAAGCAAGTTCGCATCTTCTGCCAATTTCAATTAATAAGGCATTTCTGGTTTTGACCGGAAGGAAGGGTCACGTGATTTTGCACTTAAAACCAAAAATGAAGACCCTGCAATATTTTATCGATTGTTATAAAAAAACAAAATCATATCTGTAGCAGTTGATTTTATATTGATTTTCAAAGATTAAATATGGAAATATTTATTTGCTTGTAATATGACACTTGATGACGTCATTGTGACGTCATTACCAGAAACCTCAAGAGCTATATTTACTGTGCTGTATACAGCCAAATCTTGATTATATCTATCACGGTATATTTTCTAGAAATTTTTTAAGATTTAAAGGTCTTTTTATTGTAACTTCCGGTCTGATGACGTAATCAATTTGTTTTTTTCGCGCACAGGTGTTGTCTGCATTATGGTCATCATGTACATTAATTTTGAAGCGATTACCGCAAACTTCGCCACAGACATCAAGTGAAAATGCGTTTTTGACGTTTTTTAACCTATCGCTAGAGGGCGCTCCAACACTTCATGGCATCACCCATTATTTTTTTGGAAAGGTCAATCCAGGCAGACACTTAAATCGTTAAAAGCAAGTTCATATCTTTTTCCACTTTTAAATTATTAGGCACTTCCAGTTTCGACCGGATGGAAGAGCCACGTGATTTTACGTGCACAACATAAAATGAAGATCATGTATTACCATGTCGATTCCCGCAAATTGCAGGTTCCGGTCTCTCACAGTTGATTTTATATGGAATTTCAAAGATTAAATTGATTAAACTTTCAAGTGACGTCACGTGACCCATGATGACGTCATGATGACGTAATTGCAAAAAACCACATCTGCTGTGGATTGGGCATTCATGTATTGACAAATGAAGTTCATATGTACATGTATGTTTCCATTTTTCCAAACAGTTCTGGAGAAGGATTTGCTGAGAATATGCTGAGAAGAACAAAAACAGTAAATTCTTACAAAACCAATAGGTGTTGGGCTCAAGGCCCAACACCTACCAGTAATAATTCTTGAATGGCAAATTAAATGTACAAAGTACAGTGTCACGGCCCATGGACAGGAAAAATGTCACACTTGACTTTGGACCCTACATGTAAATTTACAGAAAGACCCATGTACATTTACATGTAAATTGTAATTGTGTTTGTTCACAAACAGTTTGCAAACAAT